TCTCCCGGCCAAAAAACCGTGGAGCTTTTTATTTCCAAATCCCGGCCAAAAACCGAGGATCTCCCGGCCAAAAAACCGTGGAGCTTTTTCTTTCCATGTCCCGGCAAAAACCGAGAATCTCTTCGNGAGACCTTTTCCCCCGTGGTTAAGATGGTCACTGTCAGAAGTGTAGTGGCCCTTGCAGCTCAACATAACTGGCCCTTATTCCAAATGGATGTCTACAATGCCTTCCTCCAAGGGGACCTTTCTGAAGAAGTTTACATGTCCTTGCCTCAGGGATTTGGCAGTCAGGGGGAGACTAGAGTGTGCAGACTTCTCAAATCCCTCTATGGTCTTAAACAGGCTAGTCGACAATGGAATTTGAAGCTCACATCAGCTCTTATGCACTCTGGTTTCACACAAAGCAAGCTGGACTATTCTCTGTTCACTAAAAGGCACAATAATGACATAGTCATCATACTTGTTTATGTTGATGATCTACTAATTACAGGGAGTGACCAGGAGCTAATTCAAGAGGCTAAATCTATTTTGAATAACAACTTCAAAATGAAAGACCTAGGAGAGTTAAGATTCTTTCTAGGAATTGAGTTTGCAAGGTCAAGCAAGGGTATTCTTATGAACCAAAGGAAATATGCATTGGAGCTTGTATCAGAATGTGGATTGGGTGGAGCAAAGCCTACTGATTCACCTCTGGATCAGAACTTAAAACTCACCAGTGTAGAATATGATAAACATTGTGAAGGGCAAACAAACGATGAGGATCTGGAAGACAGGAGAGTATATCAGAGATTAATTGGGAGGCTATTATGCTACCAAAAAGGAAGTTTCCCCTCCCCAAGTTCTTTCATGTATTTTGCTAAATAAAAGAAAAACATAAAAGAGGAAAACAAAAGAAGAAGAAAGAAGAAAAGAAATAAAAATGAAAATCCCAAAAGAAAAACAAATCATGGTAGCATAGGATCCTCCTTAAATATCCCGGCCAAAAAACCGAGGATCTCCCGGCCAAAAACCGTGGAGCTTTTCTTTCCAAATCCCGGCCAAAATACCAAGGATCTCCCGGCCAAAAAATCGAGGAGCCTTTTCTTTCCAAATCCCGGCCAAAAAACCGAGGATCTCCCGACCAAAAACCGTGGAGCTTTTTCTTTCCAAAATCCCGGCCAAAAAACCGAGGATCTCCCGGCCAAAAAACCTATGAGCTTTTTCTTTCCAAATCCCGGCCAAAAACCGATGATCTCCCGGCCAAAAAACCAAGGAGCCTTTCTTTCCAAATCCCGGCCAAAAAACCGATGATCTCCCGGCCAAAAAACCGAGGAGCTTTTTCTTTCCATATCCCGGCCAAAAACCGAGGATCTCCCTACACAATCCTGATTTGATCGCTTAGATATCACAACTAACTCACGAAATCTTCCTAGTGAAAACTGGGGCAGAAAATTTCGTTAGTTTGTTTGTTTTGGTATTTTAAGCAGGTCGACCTCAAGACACAGGGTTCGAGACGACCAAAAGAATGAGTCTCAATGCAGAATAAAGAAAAAGAAGAAAAGAAAAGAAGTGAATTCAAAATGCAGAAATTGATGAAAAATGTGAGCTGCTCAAGACATGGCTGAGGTCACAAGCTCTGCATGTCCCGTCTTGGTTTGAAAAACTGAAGAAGATTGAACCAACACCTGCAGCTAACAAGCATCAAGATTCAGATCAGGGTCCGCATGAAGAACCAACCAAGACTCAAGATCAAGCTTCAGAAGACTCATAGATAGGAATCTTGTAACTCGTAGCTGATAGGCTTAGTTAGTCTTTTTCATTTTTGATTTTGATGTAATAACGGGACCGCGGACCGGAACCTCGATGGCACCTCGCTCGGCTCTCAACCTCGGTACTCCATCATCTCATTCATTTCTGAACTACACGTGGCCTGATTCCTTTATAGCCAAGGATATGTAGGCAGCTCAGATACCATGGCTCGGTCACATTCTCCCTCTTCTTAGTTTTTGCTCTCCTTAAATAAGGGTCGGGTCAAAAAACCTGTCTAGTCATTCTTTGTCTGAAAACTCTTCGCGTTTCCAGTCAAAGAGGGGCAGCTGTTGACATGTGATTTTTGACCCTCCCCGAAATTTTACCCATTTTAGCATGTAAATATTTAGTTTAGGCCTAATATCGCCATTTCAACTAATTTTACTCTTTTACGTTATTTTAATACAAGAAAATGAAAATTACAAAACAAATATTTTATTTTATGCACCTTTCGTAAAGTAAAAAATAAACAAAAATAGTACCTTATTTTTACCTTTATATAATGTTAGAAAATACAAAAAATATATGTATAATAGTTTTATGTTTTAATATAGTTTAGTTTAATTAATTAGAATTTGTTTTTGCATCATGTAGTATAGTTATCTTATATTAAAGGAATTTAGCTATGGTTTTGAATAATAATTTTTGGAGTCTTCTTAGCCGAAAATTGAGACACAAAAAGACATGATCCAACCCAAATTTCCTTAGCCCATTCTTCCCAACCCATTAGCCCATTTAAGTGCAAGATTTAATCTTAGCCATCTATTTCCTTCTAATCCAATGGTCATCATCCATTCTCACTTTCATATAAAATACCCAATTATAGAAACCCTACCGGAAGTTTTCAATTTCAAAAACATAGACACCCTCCCATCAGAGTAGTCGTCGATCTCATCTCCTGCCTAAAGAAGAGCAGCTTGAACACTAATACACAAAGAGAAGGTCAGCAACCGTCCAAACCCGTTACTCTTTCAGCCATTGATAACACCTAAAAGCCACCATTTTAGTTTCAAACTCCAGCCCCCCAAAACCCAGTAAAACTGCTCTGAAAATCAGTTCCAAAACAGCCATTTCATCACGCTAAAATGGTAGAATCCATGGCGGAGTCGCCGGCGAGTTCCCGTTCGAGGGGTCGGTGTTAGAGGTGGTCGGTTCGAGGTTTCCGTTAATAAGTTCTCTGTACGGTTTCATTCGTCGGCTCAGAGTCGGCCCTTCTTCTATATTGCTGTACAATTCCCGTCACAAGGTCAATTTTCATCTAATATCCCAATAATATATTTGCTCTAATGGGTTTCTGCCAAATATTCTGTTTTGTTTTCTATATTTTAGGTGAATGTTCTCTTGTTTTGTTTATTTAATTGATTTGATATATTGAGGCATTGTTTAAATTAATTACTAAAAGTAGTGCATAATCTTCTTAGTGTAAGTATGTTAAGATTTAATTGCTACGTGAGCAACTTTTTTGGTTTTTGCATATTTTATAAAATTCATGTTTAGAGTGGAATCTGTTAATTGACAACTTCAGTGAATTGGGGGCACGAATTGTTTGGGTTGGTTCATTTCTCTTTCACTACTAATATTCTTATATTTAAATTCATGAATATGTTACATAAATTATACGCTTCCCTACAATCATTTTCATAAAGACCTTCACAATAATCTTAAATTAGCTTTAGAAAAATAATTATGAACAACCGTAGTTTGCTTTAGTTGAGCACAATCCTTTGAAATTAGAATCGAGGTGTGCCATTAGTTGAATTTTCCATGGCCCTCGCAAACTTGGAAACGCGTAGTTGCTTTAGGCGCGTAACTTAAAATTACTTTCCTAAACTCGGGTTATGTGACCCAAATCCAAATCTCAACGAAGTCGAAATGTGTCAAAAACCGCGGGCGCATTTATGTGACGTGGTTCGAGACGCGTTTTCACGACATTGCAATTCTCTTTAAAAAATAATAATAAAAGCGGTTTAAATTTAAAAGGCACATAAATTAAAACATGTATTAAAATCAGATTTTTAGCCAATTATAATAATTTAAGCGACCGTGCTAGAACCACGGGATCCGGGGGTGCCTAACACCTTCCCCCGGGTCAACAGAATTCCTTATTCAGAATTTCTGGTTCGCAGACTCCAATTAGGAAGTCGAATTTTTCCTCGATTTGGGATTTAAATTAAATCGGTGACTTGGGACACCAAAAGCCAATCCTTTCCCAAGTGGCGACTCTAAAAACAAATAAATAATCCCATTTCGAATAATGTCACTTCAAATGGAAAAACTCCCTTATACCTTATCCTTCGGGGTAGGTGTGTAAAAAAGGAGGTGTGACAATATAATTGACCAAGCTGTTGATGGACAGTTGAATCTAACTCAAAATCGATGAAGATTCCATCGGGAATCGGTCTCAATGTAGTTCATTAGGGTTTATTAGGCTAAAGAAAGGGGATTTTGGGTGGATGATTGATTAAGTGAGGCGAGGTAAAATGTGGGTAAGGTAAAAAGGGATTTTTTATCCGACCTGGATAAATAAACACGTGTAAGAATATTGTTGGTATGTTATTCCACGTGTGAAGCATTTAAAAACACACGCTTAAGTTTTTGCAGCCCGGTCATGCGTTGTATTTAAATGGTATAGACCAAAATAGAGTTAAAGTGTTCATAGGAAAAGTGCTAAGTTAAGGTGTCAAAATGAAAATTAGAGTCAAGTTTAAGGGACCGTACACCTATTTGGCCAAGAAAAAAAAGATACGTAGTTCTTTCAAAGCACCTCAAACCCATCGGGAAATGTACAACACGTTCTTTAGAACAAAATTCAAGGGATTCATAAACTTTCGATTTTTAGTGGGCGTTCGAACATAAGAATTGTAAAAATTCAAAAAATAATGATTTTTTTTTCAATTGAAAATGATATTTGAAAATTATAATTGTGTTTGAACATGAATATAATTTTGGATTATTTGAATTTTTATGAGTGATCTGAGTGAAAATTTTAAAAAATAATTTTTTGGAGTTTTTTTAATTTTTAAAAAATTACAAAATATATTTTCAAGTGAAAACTAAAAATTTTATGACCAATTTCGAAAAAAGGTAAAAAAATTCTTATGTCCAAACGGGTAGTTAGTTTCCCTAAAAATAGAAACATATAGCATCTGAATTATGTGTCGTCTTCATCCTGCATTCCTTCTAACTTTCACAGCAACACATACAATAAGTTAGTTAACGGCATTCTCATTGCCCATAAATCCTAATTAATTATCCAATAACAGAAAACAGATCTACGGTGAATGCCAGCACTAGATCACCCATCCTACGGCTAACAATGGACCAAATTATCCTGGCCTACAGGGGATATTCAATCCAACAATGAACAACACACACCTCCTCTATCTAGGGTTCAAGTCCAAAAACCTTTGCACTAAACCCTCAGTGCTTCCCTCGAAGACCCATCTCGTCAAATCAATCATTCCCTCAATTCAGAATCTGGGTTTTCAAGATTCTATCATATAACACTCAGTTTTCCACCAAAGATGTAAACTTTGTATTCTGTAAGTTGCCTTTTCTATTCTTTCTTGATTTTTATAGCAAACCAAATAGTGGGGTTTTAATGAATTATGGTTATTCTTGGCTTATAAGTATTAGAGTTTGAATCTTGAAAAGTTTCTGAAAGGGATAATTATATGGGGAAATCAGGTGCTAGGAAGAAAAAGGGTGGTGTTAATCAAAGTCAAAATCAAAACCAGAATCAAGGAGCTGTAGGGGAGAGTCATAAACTTGTTGCTGTTAATGGTACTGTTGATTTGGACTCATCCATTTTCTTAAAAAGAGCTCATGAGCTGAAAGAAGAGGGAAATAAAAGATTTCAGGCTAAGGATTTTGTAGGTGCTTTACAACAATATGAGAATGCTCTCAAACTTACACCAAAGACACACCCAGAAAGAGCTGTGTTCCACAGCAATAGAGCGGCGTGTTTGATGCAAATGAAGCCCATTGATTATGATTCTGTTATTTCTGAGTGTACTATGGCACTTCAGGTTCAGCCCCATTTTGTTAGGGCCCTTCTACGAAGGGCTCGTGCATTTGAGGCTGTTGGAAAGTATGAAATGGCAATGCAAGATGTGCAGATGCTACTGGATGCTGATGGGAATCACCGGGATGCTTTGGAAATTGCAGGGCGATTGAGTATGATACTTGGTCCTCGCCAGCAAGACCTTTGGAGCCGCCCATCTCCAGCTGCCCTTGGTGCGTCTGCGGTGGGTGCAGCCTCTATTGCCGGTCTAGGACCGTGTTTACCTTCTCGATCAATGTCTAAGAAGCTAACACCTTCAGCTGGGGCTTCGGTTGTATCAGCTAATAATAAACCAGATAAGCCCTCTCATGTTAACCCTGCTGAAAATGGTACTCAGGGCAAAGTTCAGATGCCGAGGGTTGTCTTGAAGCCTTCAAATGGTCCTTCTAAACCTAATGCAAGTCCTAGTAGGGATGACAAGAAGGAGCTGGCTTCTTTGTCAGCATCACTTACAGTCCACGGACATTCTAAGGATGCTGTGATTCGTTGGAGGCCATTGAAGCTTGTTTATGATCATGATATAAGGCTCGCCCAAATGCCTGTAAATTGCAGTTTTAGAGTGTTGAGGGATATTGTTACTAAACGGTTTCCAATGTCTAAGTCTGTTCTTGTTAAATATAAGGACGGTGATGGTGATTTAGTAACTGTTACCTGCACAGGTGAGCTTAGATTGGCTGAGTCCTGGGTTGATAGTTTAGTACCAAAAGACCCTGACACAGATGAAGGTGACTCCATTGGGATGCTGAGATTGCATATTGTTGAGGTGAGTCCTGAACAAGAACCAGCTTTGTTGGAAGAGGAAGAGAGGCCTGTCGAGAGTGAGGAGACTATAGAAGATGAGAGTGGATCCCATTCTTCACTAAGTGATTCCATGGTGGAAACTCAGGACAGTAAGATTAACAAGACAGAGAAGGATACTACCAAAGAGAAAACCACAACGGAAGATCCTGAATGTAAGGAAGTTGAGATGGATGATTGGCTGTTCGAGTTTGCTCAGCTATTCAGGACCCACATTGGGATTGATCCAGATGCTCACATTGACTTGCATGAGCTTGGAATGGAGCTCAGCTCTGAAGCCCTTGAGGAGACTGTGACAAGTGAAGCGGCTCAAGCTCTTTTTGACAAGGCTGCCTTAAAGTTTCAGGAAGTGGCTGCTCTCGCTTTTTTCAACTGGGGAAATGTGCACATGTGTGCGGCCAGGAAACGAATGCCGATCGATGATTCTGCTTCAAAGGAGATGATGGCTACTAAGCTTCAAGCAGCCTATGACTGGGTGAAAGAAAAATATTCTCTGGCCAAAGAGAAGTATGAGGAGGCTCTCTTGATTAAACCAGATTTTTATGAGGGGTTGCTGGCATTAGGGCAGCAGCAATTTGAAATGGCAAAACTCCACTGGTCTTTTGTCTTGGCTAAGAAAGAGGACCTGTCAAATTGGGATCCTACTGAGACGCTTGCTCTATTTGAAAGTGCAGAAGAGAAAATGAAAGCAGCGACTGAAATGTGGGAAAAGCTGGAGGAGCTGAGGGCTAATGAACTAAAGGATCCTAGTGCAAGCAAGAAAGATGAACTACTAAGGAGAAGGAAGAAACAGGGAAGCGGTCCTGAGGCTGAGGTGTTGGCTGCAGGTGGTCCGGGTGGAATTTCAGCTGATGAGGCTGCGCAGCAAGCTGCTGTAATGAAATCTCAAATACATTTGTTTTGGGGTAATATGCTTTTTGAGCGGTCGCAAGTTGAATGTAAATTGGGGATGACTGGTTGGAAGAAGAAACTTGATACTGCAGTCGAGCGATTTAAGCTTGCTGGAGCTTCTGAGATTGACATCTCAACAGTTCTGAAAAATCATTGTTCCAATGAAGAAGCTTCTCAGCAAATGGTTGAGAGCCCGAAGACTGAAGGGGCTGATAATTCGAATAACAAGAATGATGCTAGTCAAGCTTAGGCGGAGACCTGACAATAAATTTGCAATATTTATTTCTTTATAAAAAATTTATATACGTGAAACCAGAAAATTTTGGCTTTCAAACATCAATTAGACATGTAGGATCTGCATTTATGATGAAACCAGAATCTTGTGATGGAAACGATTATCAATTTGTCATTTTTCTGAGTTCTGACATATACAATTTTTCTTTGGCGAGTGCTTGAAAGGTTTCTTTCTCTTATTTTGCTCTCTATTGGAAGTAGATATTTCAGAATCCATGTGTGCCATGGCTGAAGAGACGTTGTTGCTAGTATAATTGTTACTACCTTTGAAAGGGATTTTGGAACTTAATGCAAAGCTACTATATCTCACTTTAGACATTTTCAAATTCATTCATAGCAAGCCAGCTGCTTGACTTAGTTGTTCCATATATCAACTTCTCTTGTAATAAAAAAGGAAGATTAAGCTGGCCAACCATGTCTTTTTTTGCTCATCTCCTTTTTCATTGCTTTCTAAAAAGTTTGATTTCACGCAGGGGTGTCAAATGGGCGGGTTGAGTCGATTTTGGGGTCATAACCCAATCCGCCAAACTCTTATTAAGCTTTAATTAATATGTGTTATTTTCTTATATATTGTATAATTACTAAATAAGACTTTTTTTTCTTTTGTTATGGTCATATATGACATGTCAAACACAAAAAAAAGTTATTTCTAAGATATTTTGACAAAGTTATTCATGGATTAATTTGGGCTAAAAATTAGCCCTACTTTAAATGGATTGGGTCAAAATAGGCTAAGTTCAATAAATGGGCGAGTCAATAAACAGCCCAACCTTGGATAGGTTGGGGGGGTCATTTGGGCTTGGGCCAAATTTGACAGCCCTAATTTCATGTTTGAAATGGGGAAAAAAGGTGAAAGCTGCTTATTGTTGAGCTGGAACCATATCGTTCTACCAGGTATCAGTTTAAGGGTTTAATATTGTTTCTCTATATCTGAAGCTATAACTTGTGATCTGGTCCATGCGATAGCATTATCTCGGAACTGTAGGTGTTTGCTAAATATTTATGTTGGATCTATGAACCCCAAGCCCATTATTGAGTGCTTAAGGTGTAGTAGTAACAACCTGGAGAACCTAGGCTCGATGATCAGCTATCTGCTTCAACTTTGGTGCACCCCATTACTTGGTCGCTGTGCATGTGGGATAAAGCGGGCTGCTCAATGGTTTAGTGGAATGTGCTAAATGAATTGAATAGTAATTCTGTAAATCTAAGGAACTAAAGTGCAAGAATAGCTCCTGAACAATTTACAGAGACTGAATTTTGGACTGTGAAAGAGAAAGAGAGAGTAGTATTATTTCTTCTTAACTGCCTTTTTACAATACGAATATTCCCTTTAAGTAGTTCTAATCCCTTCTCTAATGTAACTGGTTCTAACAGACTTTAACAACCCCTAACTACCACTAATAACAATTGCTAAGATACCCCTTAACTTCTACTAATTCCCTTTTCTGCATGTTTACAATATTGTCACATAACAACTTTTCCCCCCTCTTAAGAGTCCTTGGCCTCAAGGACAAAGGTTGGAAATTGCTGTTGTAAGACGTGCAAGTCGGCCCATGTGTTATCTTAGTGGGGCAGTTGAACCACTTCACCAAAAGCTGTGTGACATGTCTGTTGTTTTTAGAGAGTACTCTTTTATCCAAAATCTCTTCAGGCTCCAGTACAATGTACCCATGAGGAGATAGGGAAATAGGCAGTTTAGGCGTGGCTGTAGCAGTACCAGTCTGTGACTTTAGCTGAGAGACATGAAATGTATGATGGATCTTTGCTTGTGGAGGTAGGTCCAACTGATAAGCCACAGTACCCACTCTTTTGATGATCTTGAAGAGACCAAAATACTTTGGACTCAACTTATGATAGGAGTGATTCTTCAAGGAAATTTGCTTGTACGGTTGCAGCTTCACAAAGACCATGTCACCTACATTGAAACTCCTAGGAGTTCTATGTTTGTCAGCTTGAGCCTTCTTCCGGGATTGAGCTAACAGGAGATGATGCTTTAGCAATCTGATGGTGGTCTCTCTGGCTTGGAGACTCCTGTCAACCTGATCTACCATTGAACTATGGGGAATATAGGGCAGGTGGAGGGGTGGTTTTTGGCCATATAGGACTTCAGAAGGGGTCATCGTGATAGCAGAGTGATAGTTAGTGTTGTACCACCATTCAGCCAAGGGAAGATAGTGCACCCAATCCTTGGGTCTATCCTTGCACATGCATCTGAGATAGCTCTCCAAACACTTGTTGACCACCTCTGTTTTCCCATCTAATTGAGGATGATAGGCAGAAGAGTGATGTAAGTGAACTCCTTGAGCCTCAAAAAGAGCCTGGCAGAACTTACTCAAAAAGATAGTGTCCCTGTCACTCACTATAGTTTGGGGCAACCCATGTAATTTGTATACATTGTCTAGGAAGGCCTGGGCCACTGTTGACGCAGTGTAGGGGTGAACCAGACTGATAAAATGAGCATATTTACTGAGCCTATCAACAACCACCAATACTACTGACTTGTTGTGAGACTTAGGTAGCCCCTCAACAAATTCTAAGCTGATATCTTGCTATACCTTTTCAGGAATGGGTAGGGGTTGTAACAGGGCTGGGGACTTCACATTCTCACCCTTACACCTTTGGCAAGTGTCACAGCTCCTAATGTGTTCATAAACTCCTGTTTTCATCTTCTTCCAATAATAAACTTGACTAACTCTATGCAAAGTGGCAGCCATTCCTGAGTGACCTCCAACAGCACTGTCATGAAAGAAGTGCAAAATGTCATCTCTGAGGAGCTTGTCAGGGCCAACCACTATTTTGCCTTTCCTGTAAATGATGCCATCCTTTAGCCAATAGATAGGATTGGCTAATGCATTCTGACTAAGCCGAGATGCCAACTGCTGTAGGTGTTGATCTCCCGAGTAAAAGGATATCACTCTTGCAAGGAAGTCTGAAGTCACAGTAGAGATAGTTAAGAGTTGAATACTGTTCATAGGAAACCTTGACAAAGCATCTGCTGCTACATTCTCCTTCCCCTTTTTGTACATGATGTTGTAGTCATACCCCATAAGTTTAGCAACCCATTTCTGCTGGCTAGGGGTAGATACCCTCTGTTCTAGAAGATACTTGAGGCTCTGGTGGTCTGTCTTAATAAGAAAACGCCTGCCAATGAGATATGGTCTCCATTTATCCACTGCAGTCACAATGGCCATCATCTCCTTTTCATACACTGAGAGGTGTTGATGCTTAGCATGCAAAGCCTTGCTCAAATAAGCTAGAGAATGAGCCCCTTGCATCAATACAGCCCCTATTTCATGCCCACATGCATCAGTTTCAATAATGAACTCCTGGGAAAAATCTGGGAGTGCCAACACTGGTGTTGTACTCATAGCCATCTTGAGAGTTTCAAATGCTTGAGTTGCTGCCTCAGAACACTCGAACTTATCTTTCTTCAGAAGATCAGTCAGGGGTCTAGCTATCATCCCATACCCCTTCACAAATCTCCTATAATACCCTGTTAAACCCAAGAATCCCCTGAGTTCCTTCACATTTTTATGTACAGGCCACTCAACCATCACCTTCACCTTCCCTGGGTCAGCTGCTACCCCTTCTTGAGTGATAATATGGCCCAAGTACTATACCTTTGTCTGACCAAATGTACATTTCTAAGCTTGACAAACAAATTATTATCCTCCAAGATTTTGAAGGCTTGTTCTAAATGTACTAAATGTGATGACCAAGAAGAGCTGTATATTAGAATGTCATCAAAGAATACAAGTATGAACTTTCTGAGGAAGGTTTGGAATATATGATTCATCAAACTTTGAAAAGTGGAGGGTGCATTGGTTAAACCAAAGGGCATAACCATAAACCCATAGTGTCCATTATGGGATCTAAAAGCTGTCTTTTCAATATCTTGGTCAGCCATCCTAATCTGGTGATAACCAGATCTTAAATCTAGTTTTGAAAAAAACTTTGCCCCTCCCAATTCATCTAATAGTTCCTCTATCATAGGAATTGGAAATTTTTCTTTAACAATGCAACTATTTAATTGTCTACAGTCTATACAAAGCCTCCAAGTACCATCTTTCTTTTTGTCCATGACAATAGGTGAGGAATAGGGACTTACACTAGGCCTGATGACACCAGAATCCAACATCTCTTTGATAATTTTTTCTATCTCATCTTTCTGGTTAGCAGCATATCTGTAGGGTCTGGCATTGATAGGGGAGGTTCCTTCCTTGAGTATAATCTTGTGATCATGACTTCTTTGAAGAGGTAAAGCTCTAGGTGCTTCAAAGAGACCAGTGTGTTTGGCCAGTAACCTCTGCAAGTCATCAGAGTCCTGCCCTTGTTGGAAGTTCAAAGTAGCAAGTTCTCCTTCGATTGGTTGAACATAAGCTGTGATCATCATGCTCAACTCCCCAGATTTGTGCAGCAATCTTTGCATTTTGTGATTGTCTAACAACTTAGGAGCACCTGGTTGGCTACCTCTGAGTGACACCTTTTTACCCCCAATTTGCAACTCCATCTTCAGCTGCCTAAGGTTCCATTTAATATCCCCTAGAGTGACTAGCCACTGTATTCCCAAGACAACATCTGCTCCCCCCAGAGGCATGACTAACATGTCAGCTCTGAATTCCACTCCTTGCATCTTCCATGTAATCCCCTTACTCATGTACCTGCTGTGAATTTTGCTACCATTGGCAACTGCTACAGAGAATGGAGAAATAGTTTCCAGCTTGTACCCCAATCTCTTAGCTACATCCAGGTCCATGAAGTTATGAGTAGACCCTGTATCTATCAAAACATGTACCATCTTACCTTTTACACCCCCTTTTACCCTCATTGTTCTGTAGTCTACTGTTCCATCTAGTGCATGAACAGACATCTGAGGACTTAAAGTTGATTCCTCTCTATTTTCCTCCTCAATAAAATTTTTAGTAGCCTCCCAGTCTTCTTCCTCCTCTCCTATTTCTAGCAGATACATTTGCTTCCTTCCCCTGCAGTTATGACCAGGGACAAACTTCTCATCGCACCAAAAACACAACCCTTGGGCTCTCCTTTCATCCATCTCAGCTGTGGATAATCTCCTAGATCCCTTCACTACAGATTTCCCGTTGGAACCCAAGAACCTGTTCCCTTCTACATTTCTGCTACTCCCAGCCCCTTGAATCTGTAGGTTTCCCCTGGAGTTTGAATTCCCAGAAGAAGCTGGAGTAGGTAATAAGGGTCTGAAACTCCTCTGATTCTTTTGCAAGTTCAGGGAATGTTCAACTAATTTGGCTAGGCTGTAGGCTTTTGTTAGAGTACGTGGAGATAACATCCTCACTTGTACCTTAATTTTTGGTTTTAGTCCCTTTAAAAAACAGCTGATAGAGTATTCCTCAGATAACTCAACTTGGTTTAACAACCCATCAAAAGAATCCAAGAAATCCTGCACACTCCCCGTTTGTTTCAAGCTAATTAGCTCTGCCATCGGATCTTCATGTAAGGTATGGCCAAATCTATGGTATAACCCCCTAAGGTAGTCATTCCAATTGGGTAATCCCCTACCCACTCGGCCCTTCATCATTGCTCGATGCCATTTTAATGCTCTGCCCTCTAGGTTAATGGCTGCTATTCTAACCTTCTCCTCCTCATTCGTTCCCTTATATTCAAAGAATTGCTCGCATCGATAAATCCACCCTTCCAAATCATTCCCGTTGAACTTAGGAAATTCTACTCGAGAGTATTTGTAATTAGGGTTACCTCTGTCAAGATAGTTGCCTCTGTCAAGATAATCCTCATCGTTCTCATGAATCGCAGCTGGAGGGACCGCTACTGGTGGCGCCGACGCTTGTTGATTCGCCGCCATTGCCGCTATTAGCTGTCTAATTTCCCCAATCACCTCATCGTGTTTTTCTCCCATCGCCTTAACTTGTTCTCTGATTTCTTCAATTTCTCGATGCATCTCACCATTTCTCGTCGCCTCCGGCATGTCTTCCGGCCAAGGATGCTGAAGCTCTCATACCAAATGGAATGTGCTAAATGAATTGAATAGTAATTCTGTAAATCTAAGGAACTAAAGTGCAAGAATAGCTCCTGAACAATTTACAGAGACTGAAATTTGGACTGTGAAAGAGAAAGAGAGAGTAGTATTATTTCTTCTTAACTGCCTTTTTACAATACGAATATTCCCTTTAAGTAGTTCTAATCCCTTCTCTAATGTAACTGGTTCTAACAGACTTTAACAACCCCTAACTACCACTAATAACAATTGCTAAGATACCCCTTAACTTCTACTAATTCCCTTTTCTGCATGTTTACAATATTGTCACATAACATTTAGTTGAGTTGTGCTTCATGCTGATCCGGACATCACCATCGTAAAAGAAAAGAAATGTGTGCTCTGTATATTCTTGAGATATATAAATTCTGACTGGATATTCGGTTTGGATTGTTAAGTGCTTTTCATATTGAGTTTCAGTTCTCGCACTCAGGTCACTGATAAGGTAATTATTGGAAAATTCAAGGTAATTTACTAGAAAAGAGTTAATTCAAGTTAAAAGGAACTTCTTTTGAGAACATAACAATAAAACTCCTCTTAGATTACCAGACAACAGTACATCAAAAAACCCAAGTGGCATAAAACAAGAAAAACACCCCCACTAATCAACATAAACAAATCATTATTACATCATCATCATAATCTTAATATTAAGCCATTTTCTTCTCATTAATCAGTTTTCTAATTAATACTCCATCAAAGTCTCAAACAGTTGCTATTGGGGCAGAGTTGACAGTAGTTTCCACAGCCTTCATTGCTTCAAACCTTGGCTCCTTAGCCTGGAATTTAAGACCTGCATATAATTTCATATAGTCCTCAAAAACAAACTTAGGATAAATGGCTTTGTTCTCTTTCTCCAACAATTCTGGTGCTGGATAGATGACAGCATCACTCCCCGGGTTATAGAACGAAGCTATGGACATTCTGTTTCCATCAGGCTGAGCAATCACCCTATGCTCCACACTCTTGTACTTTCCATTAGTAATCACCTAAAAGTTAACCAAATAGTAAAAAATCATATCTCAGGTAATGATAATGTAAACACTCTTTACAGTAACAGTGTATATAAGTTAAATCCTTACCTCAAGTTGGTCTCCGAGGTTTATGACAATGGAGTGGCGCATTGGTGGAACGTCGATCCATTTGTCGTCTTTGAGTAGTTGGAGACCACTGACTTTGTCATCTTGGAATAGAAGGATGATTCCACCAGCATCAGTGTGAGCCCTGAGGCCTTTAATCAAATCAGGCTTGGGGCATGGTGGATAGTTGCTAACTTTGGTTCCAAAAGTAGGACCCTTTGAACCATAAAAGGCTTTCTTCAAGTAACCTTGCTCCAGTCCTAGATTTTCACAGAGCAAGTCCAAAAGTTGCTCTGCTAATTTCTCTAGCTTTTCAGCAAACTCCTTCATGATTTTCCTGTCATGTTTCATGTAAAGTCAGCAAATCAAAGGTTGAATTCAGGATCTAGAGCATGAGTTTGTTTTGATTCTATGTATAAATTTTTGATTTTTTTAATCAAATAAAGTATAAAGTAGTACATAATTTGAACAAAAAGGTAGCTCGGTGCACTAAGCTCCCACTACGCGCAGGATGCGGGGAAGGACTGGACCACAAGGGTCTATTGCATGCAGCCTTATCCTGCAAGAGGCTGCTTCCACGGCTCGAAAAGCAATAATTCAGTTGAACCGACATAAATCTGCCTCTGGTAGAAGCGAATCCAAAGGGGAAAAAGAATCCATTAAATTAAATCTTGTGGTCCAACATATGCAGGTTAAAAGTTGGAGCAGAATTAGAGATCCTTTGACCTGTATTCATCTTCAAGATCAGGAACTTCTGAGATATTTGAAACAGGAAGGTGTTTCAAGAAGAAAGTACTTTCCCAGTCCAAATCCTTAATTTCAGTCTGAACAGCTTCAAGCCCTTTACTTGCTACCATTTCCTTAAACCTTTCTTCCATGCATTTCTTGTAGTGTCCCTTTGTCAACTTCTCCACTGTGTCCAGAAGCTCATGAGAGATCCCATGATTTACCACCTTCATATATTTGCACATGTTATTACAATACACGATTTCAGTGCATATATATATTTCATTTCATTTTTTATGAGAGAAAATTATATAGGTATGTAGTTTAATGATGTTATACCTCAAAGAAGCCCCAGTTCTCACAAGCATCCTTAATTGTCTCCATTGTTGCAGCCCTTTGTTCAGTGTTAAGCAACTCCATGTTAACCACTGGGAAAGTCTCCATCTTTCTAATTCTTTTCTTTCTATGTATTTTGCTACCTCTTTGTTACTGTGCAGGATGGAGATGAATGGCTACATGGACGGGTATTTATAGGACTTTAACAAGGCATTAAAGATAAAGACTTTAATGATTTAAAATATTTACAAAGTAATAAAATATGAAATCTATACTTAACCAAAAAAAAAGGATGAAATCTAGCAAGTGGAAATGGGAACAGGACTCGTGGAGGATGGTATGTGACTACATATTGTTAGGACCTACCAGTTTTGGCTGAATGTTACTAATTAGCCATGATTTACTGTTATGTCTTCTCTTTTTCGTGGGGCTCAGCCTAATCAGCGCAATAGTACAACTAGTTCTCTTTGCTTTTTTCCCCATCGAATTTTGACTAATTGGACTCATGGGCGATTCAACGAATCTTGTAGCCTAAGGCGAAACTATATTGAAAAGTAGGGGTGTTCATAAAAATTCGAAAAATCGAACCAAACCAAACCGACTAAAAAAATAGATACTTTTTAGGTTTGGTTTGGTTTTGGTTTTGAATTTTAAAAACCGATCAAATTTGGTTTGGTTTTGGTTTTAATAAAAAAATAACCGAAAATCGAACCAAACCGACTATAAAAGTAGCTATTTAAATTTATTATTACACCTATATATATGTATATTTTTATATAAAGTTTCGAAAATTTTATGATACATATTAGTCATTTATATTTTTAGTCTAGTTCTTTGCTATTTAATAATCTAATTGGTAGTTTTCTTTTGCCAAGTACAAAAATAATTTATTTTTAAGTTTTGAGCATTGACTGTATCAAAAATATTTACTCTTTCTGATCAATTTAACCGATAATTGTAGTTCGTTCAATTAATTAGTAGCACTTATTGGTGAATATTTAAAATAAACTATAAATAATCTAATATAATATGTTGAAATATACTAAAAGAAAACTGGTGCATGAATACTTTTGTGTTCATGCTTCAGAGAAGATTGTAAAAGAAATTCATTATGTTGTCGATATATATAACTTAATTTCTATATAAAACGGATAACAATAAAATTGAAGAATAAAGCAAATATATTAATTAATGAGTGAGAAAATTATCATAATTTATGTACTTATTAGTGTAAAATAGCCTCAATCAAATAATAAAAAAATATACTATAACATTTTTCTTTATATAAATTATGTAGTATATAATAATAATAATAATAATAATAATAATAATAATAATAATAATAATAATAATAATAATAATAATAATAAGACTTTAAAGTAAATTTGGGGCTTTCAAATTTTCGGGGCCTAAGACAATAACCTCACTTGCCAAGCCTTTAGAGCCGCCCTTGAGAAGCTATTTCAACTTTTTTTGAGATTAAGGCATAGTTATAATTACTGTTGAAACAAGATGTCACTCTTCGCACGAGGGCAAAGCTGATACACACTATGCAAATTTATTACATGGTAACTGTATTTGTTAGTTTGCTATTTGTTATTTTTAAGTCATGCAATAAATATTTTTTTCCCATGGAAAGATTTATATCGGGATCAAGTGCTTATTCTAGGAGTCATAATAATGGTTGATTGGTTTAAAATTGATAAAATATTTCATTATTTAAGCTTGTGCACAACAATATATTTAAGGAACTTGTGCATATGATGTTATAAGTCACTAAAAATGTCAGGAACTTGGTGGAACAAATTTTTTATAGTATTGAAATATGGGTTTAAATGAAGCGACACGAAAATGAGATCGAATCCGTGCTGTGAATTTTACTATTGTACTTTTTTATTTATTTAAAATGAACTTTATTTTTATATATTTTTCCAAAACGGCATTTGATAAGCCTTCACTAATTCGGATTCGCGCATGTTCATTAAAAGAGAAACTGCTCCCTATCAAAATTTTGCATTCAAACTTGAAATAATCTATAATATAATTTAGGGTTCAACAGTCTTTATATATCCATCCACCACAATCCTTAATGATGCGCACACACAAAAGCACACCCAAAATTTAAATCGAAGTAATTCAATTTCTACGTGTCCAGTGGTTCAGGACGGTAGTAATGGGTGAGAGAATTGTTAATGGTAAAGGTAAATTTGAGGAATAATTATTTCCACTCATTAAGATAAGTTAGATTGTAACTTATTATCTATTGGATTGTGCATTTTAAAAAAATAAAGTGAAGTTGGGGTCAAGAATTTTGAGCATAAATATATAAAGTAGTTAGTACGTATGATTCTAGAGATCACAAGACTCCTCATGCCCCCAATAACTACTGCATTCATTTTTGAGAAACGAGTAAAAAAAAAAGTATAATAAAATGTTTAAAAATTTATGGGACATAAATCATAATCTATGGGACATCTATCTGAAAATGAAATGTTAACTAGGGTATATAGGGGAACAACATATGCGACAAGTATATGTAATATGGTGCACGAGCACCACACTCCTATACGCATCTTTTAATATATGTAAGTTATCTTTTGCACAAAAAAAAATATATATATGCGACAAGCGACAGGCATTTTATTTCGGCATTTGATCTTTAGGCAATTGCCAATGTTTTTACTTATTTATGAAAAATATATTGTACTCAGTGACAGCATCAACATTGAATGGGACTTTACCATAAAAAAAAGTTTGATGAAGAATGAGCAGAAAGAAAGGCAGAATATG